ATTCAAACCCTTCCCGGGGATGAACACAAAACAAGTGCTTCACATTCCCGGCTTTAATATTTTCAGTGTTTAATGCCAGTTTCTTCTTTTTTTTGCTTGACCTGATAATTGTACCAACCTGTCTAATTTCTAATTTTGGTGGCGCATGAATCTCCACAGTCAAAGAATCCCATGTCTCCTGATCACTAGTTACAATCAGTCTAGCCACAATTTGCAGGGTTTGTATTTCCAGTTTCCAGAAAGTACTGAAGAGAAATACAGTCAAATACCCATAGAAATTACCTGGTGTTTGGGTTTGCAGTTTGTCTGACTATAAAGCCAGAGGAACAACAATTCATGTTGTTAAACAAGTGCACTTCAGCTCCCTTACCTTCACCATATAATAACTGCCATATGTGCATACTGCAGAAATAAATAATTCAAATAACAGTGGTACTGAATATTAAAACATGTTCTTGTTTGTCCCAAACATTTGATGAACTATATGGTGTCTTCTTTGTCATCTTGGTGACTTCTAAGTTTAGTGGAAAATGTGAACAGTAATCAGTCAGTTGAAATTGGGCCATGGTGCAGACATTTTCCCAGCAGAAGAAGAGATGCAGTAGAAGACCAAATTATGAGTTTGGCTGAATTAAAACCCAGTGTAGGTGGGTTGAGAGGACTCAACAGAGGTTTACCCAGCTGTGGATTACTAACTCTTTGCCAGATGTGGACTATAATGCTCAGTTTTGTTGTTTTCTAATCCAAAGTGAAGAAAAGATTTCCCCCATTATTCTGATGTTTGCGTGTGGATGGAGACCTTTATAAAGTCAACCTGAAACTGCTGAAACTGTGAACACAAAATTTGAGGGTCTTAGGACAGAGGGTCTGTATGCTATATAGACTGTAAAGGCAAATTAGTCATCCATCTTTTTAATCTTAAACAAAGACAGAAAGTAGTGTAATTTCCCTAAGTTAGTGTGAGATAACCCACATGGAGGAACAATGCCAAACACTATTCAGCTGCCTATAAGCACCTGACAAGTGAACAATGCCCACCCCCAACATTAAAGCCATTCTCCAGTGTAAACAAGAATCTCATCTCATTGATATTCAGAGGAGACAGAAATAGAATGCAATATTTTCTGATAATATAAAAACTGTTTACTCACACTACAGTAATAGGTTGTGTCTCAGAGGGATAAACTAGAGGGCAGTGTTACTGGGATGTCACTGGAAAGGCCTGGATAGGAGGATGAGTGAGAAAGCAGAACCAGAAATGTAGTAAAGCCACTGAAAGTCAGTTCATTTACGAATGAAACTCATTTGTTTACCATTTTGAAATTGATTTAAATCCCCTAAGCTCCCCCAGTTTATTTAATAAAACTGGCAGCACCACCGGTCTGTCAGCAGAGACTAGTTCAAAACTATTCTCAAAGTTGTTTTAATCTTATTATAGTTAGTTTTCTGCTAAGAGTTGTTTTTTTTATGCCAGTAAAATCATGTCCTGAGCAGTTATTGTCCAATTAACAACCACGACTAGGGCACTGCAGAGCTGTCAAGCTTTGGCTGTCTCTATAGAAAGGCATGCACAGGGCTGTAGTTAGAGCCATGCATACTCCGTATCTAAAGAGCTTGGAGTGTGGTGTCTCTTTTTAACCTTTTTAAAAGTATAAAAGACCAATTAAACGCTGTGTGTGTGTGCTCTAACATAAGTTGCAATCAGCATGTCTAGCTAACTAGTTTCCCACCTCCAGTAAGAATCTGATCCAGGTTCTTCCAAGGCCAAGAAGCACACCCATAATTAATTTAATCAGCGTGTGGGGATACAGGTGACAAAAGACTTATTTATGACTAGTACATCTACTGAGTAGCTTTTTTCAGTGTGAAAGCTGATCCTGAATGCCATCACAATTTAGGCAAATGATAGCAGCTCTGTCCTGCTCTTTACTGGATTTGGGAAGTTTACCTTGTAGGAGCCTTAACTATTACCTTAGATGGTGTGTGTACCAAGTTCTACAAATACAGTCAGCCACACAAAAGGTTCTAAAACATACACTTCTAAATAATATTTGGGCTAACTAGCTCTACAATGAAATATAAGAAAAAGTATAGGTAAACATTACATTCACATTTATTATGATATTGTGTGGACTTTTACATGATTCTTGATACAAAATGAGTTAGTTGATAAGATTTTTTTTTTAAAGTCAGCATCTTCACCTCATCTGTCCATTCATCCATCCTCTATACCACTTATTCCTGAATAGGAAGCCAATCCCAGCTGACATTGGGTGAGAGGCGGAGTACGCACCGGACAGGTTGCCAGTCTATCACAGGGCCTAACTACACTCACTTCTAGGGGCAATTTAGAGTCACCAGTCAACCTAAGCTGCATGTCTTTAGACTGTAGGAGGAAGCCGGAGTACCCGGAGAGAACCCATGCAGGCACAGAGAGAACATGCAAACTCTGCACAGAAAGGCACCAAGTCAGCCTGGGCTGGAACCTGGAACCTTCTTGCTGTGAGGCCGCTGTGCCATCCCTCATAGACCTAACATTAGCTAAATTAGCTAGCTACATCTGATAAAGTCTGTCAGCAACAGTCTTTGATGTATGGATTCTGGGCACTCAGGAAAAATTGGTGCATTTTCCCAGTAGTATTATCTGATAATCATAAATTAAGATTGCACTAAATGGCAAGAAATCACTTTATTCTATTCTTTATTCTGCTTTTTGATGCAGTTAAATTAGAAAGCCTGTTCTTTGGTTTTACATGGGTTTGAATATATTGTAACTGTTACCTGTGTTCTAAGAGCTCATGTTGTTTCATCTATGATTACTAAACCAGGTGCAGGCTAATTAACTCAAGAGGTTTCAATGGTGTAAAATTGTAGAAGCAGTTGTACTGTGTGATTGTGACACTGATGAAGGCTGAAAACATCTTGTAGAATGAAGTGATTTCTTGCCATTGAGTATGATCCTAATTTATGATTATTAGCAATAATCTTTCAGGCAGCAAATTCAATTGTCATTGGCTATAAATAAGACATCTGCATTTGTCAGTGTATGTCTGATATCAAGGACCCACTGTTTCAACAAGCAGTAAATCTGCCAGTGTTATCTATAAATGGTATATGTACCATGCGAGAATGGAGAGAATGTGGGCTGTAGCAACAGTAAAGGGAGTGGGGCTCAGCAAACAGTCTGTTTCTAGGTAATATCAGAATGATGTAACTTCTCTGAGCCAGAGTGCACTGAAATCAAGCATTATTCATTTGTCTATTTGATTATCGCTGTATTTTGGACCAGAACAAACAGTAGATGACAGTGGCTCAGAAATAAAAATGCTGAAAGCGGAACTCGTGTTTGTGGGAATAATGTGTCGATTATTTTAAGATTTCCAACAAGAACAAAAGATCCAGAAATGGCAGAGAGGGTTATAAAGAAGGGGGTGGGACTGAGTGTGTATCTGTGCAGGAGATCATTATGAAGCTGTAAGGGGTGGTAGTGTAGTGTGTGTGTTTGTGTGGGTGGTTGGTGGCTGATGTATCCCAACTACTGAGGTGAAACAATGCAGAAAAATAGAAAAGAGTATTAAAGAATAACATTTGGAAAAAATCTCACTTCTTTTAGTATTTTTACATTTTAAAAGTTGATTAAATACATAGTTTCCCAAACAGAGCATTTTTGTGATGATGCTTGAAGTAGAAAAGAAAGATGCTGTATAGTAAAACACAAAATAAAGTGCTTTATCTCACAAAGTAACCCTGATCCCAATTAGCACAAGCTTGTTTCTCTGAAGTCAAAACAGGAAAGAACAAAATACATCCAAGACCTTGGTGCTGTGCTTCAACATCATCTGGGCAATTAAATGCTTCCCCATCAGTTAACACTCTGTGTATAAGTCCTGTCCAGGCATGGCTGTCTCATACACTATGTCCACCTGCAAGTTCTTCTAAAAATCAGTGTGAAGTGCCAAGTCTGTAGCCACTGCAAGAAAGCCACCAATGGATATTCAAGAGACTAGAGATAGACGGTATCTTTTATCACCTTTCCAGGAGGATGAGGAATACGTTTTTAGAGAATTGCTGCATCACACTTTTAGACTGCATACAAAAATGCAAATAACTAAGTCAAATACTGTAGTTTCAGGTATTTGAACTACTTGAGTATTTCTGCTCTGCTACTCTAGCCTTTGAACAGACTGATTGTAAAACACACAGCACTATTATATAATTAGCCAGTGGTTTCTCCTTTAGAAACAAGTGTCTCGTGTCTAGGTGTCTTTAACGTGCTTCAAAATTACAATGAGTTGTTGGCTGTTTCACCAAAAAGACATTTCTAAACATATCTCATGGTTTAATTTAGACAACTGTTGGAGGCCAAACACTTGTTTTTCTAGGAAACTCTGATAGATAACTGTTGATACGAGTTAATATTTATTTTTCACTGATCAGCTACATAATTTCCTAGTCTTTTCTTTAAAACTCACAAATAGCAGGTACTTAACTGTTGCAATGAACATGTTCCTTTACTGTAGAATTAAGACCAAATTGTAGAGGCTTTTCTTGTAAATATCAGAGAAATTTACAGCTAAATACCAGCCAATTTTTAGGTTTTTAGGTTTAGGTTGACTTGTGAATAAATTGCCCATAGGGGAGAGTGTGGATGTGTGCGGTGACCTGTCCAGGGTGTACCCTGCCTCTCACCCAATATCAGCTGGGATTGGCGCCAGCTCCCCCCCTCAAATAAGTGATAATGGATGGATGGAAAGTTTCCACTAAATTAGCTGGTAAACGGGGCCCTTAAAAAGGTGTTACCAAGGTATCCGTTCTCATTCATTAGGCAAAATGAGGCCAAACAGTGCAGAACAAAAATCTTTCTTTCTCCATTTTGCAATGAGTGCATCTAATCCTCTCTTCCCTGTCTTTCTTCTTCTGTTCTATCTTTATTACACTTTCTTCACACCTCCTCCTCTCTGTCCACTTCTGTTACTCTCTTGTTGTCGACTGCCTTTCAGTCTCGTCAGACACCGGAAGGCGAGTTCCTGCCTCTGGACCAGTGTGAGTTAGATGTTGGTTTTGGGACAGGTGCAGACCAGCTCTTCCTGGTGTCTCCTCTCACCATCTGCCATGAAATCAATGCCAAGAGCCCTTTTTTTGACCTTTCCCAGCGCTCTCTCTTGAACGAACAGTTTGAGATTGTCGTTATCCTCGAGGGCATCGTGGAGACCACTGGTGAGAAATATGTTCCCATTATTTCTTTCAGCTCTCTCCATCCTGTCCCCTCCCATCCCATTCTCACTGCTTCTTTTCTTCACTCCCAATCTAAATGTAAACTCTTATATTAATATCAACCAACATAATTTTCTTGTCTAGTAGATAATCTAGACTGTGCAATGTTATTTCCCAGTGTACCTTCCCATTTTTGCATATTTGAAGAATGCATAGAAAAAAGTGACAATGAGAACAATACATGAGAATGACACTGCGATGGAATTATAAGGGATATTTTATTGCTGCACAATTAGTTTATGCCGACTTTATGCATAATAAAAGGCCATGGTCAGATGTGTATGTCAGTTTGATGAATGAGCTAAGGTTTTAGTAGAAGTTCCACTCCATTTTTCAGATGACAGCCGAGAGCAGAGGTAATTCTGAGCCTGTGAGACCTTGGTATACAGCCACTGCTGTAAACTAAAGGCTGCCATACTGATGTACTCTTACGACAATACAGCTCTCTCTGTTGCAAATTTAACAGAACAGTCAATACAAATAAATCCATCTTCCTCTATTCTTTTCAGCTCTGCTTCAGTCTATCCCTGATAACCCTCAATCTGCCACTGTTGTAGGAGAAACCACAGAGCTGAATAGGCTTAGAGCAGAAGGGAGGGATCAGCTGGGAAATGTAGAGGTAGACAGGCAACACGGTCTGTGCTCTGTTGATAATGCCATCAAATCAGGGTGCAGCAGAAGTTTAGTGTTGCAGTACTGTGGCTCTCGAGGAATAGAAGACAGAAGCCCTAACAGTGTCACCTTCAGGGGGCCATGATATTCCATCATCCTCACACTAACATATGTCCCTTTAGCTTGAACACATTAAGAGTTATCCCCTCACATCCAGTAACTGCGGACACAGGTATTCAGTTTGTTGATTGTCTCATTCTATTTATCAATCAAACATGCAATGACTTTGATTAGCATTGATACTGATTCTGTTTATATACATTAGAACAAAATGTTCACAATGTGACCAAAAGGTTTCTCTGTTAGGTCTGTTGGCGAATCTGAGTAGGTACTGTATATGCAGCTATACAGAATGGATGAATGTAGAATTTAGTCTCTATAAAATAACATTTACAGTTTTATTGTTTGACACTCAGTGACTCATTCATGTGACAAAACTAGGCTAACACCATTGGTATACTGTCCTTAAACCCTTCTCTGTAGAAAAACAAATGGCAATTAGAAAATCTATTTGAACAATATTGAAATCTCCAGTATATGACTAAACTGAACTATATGGTAGGTTGTGCAAGAAGCAGCGTTTTCCAGTTCAATCAACCATATATAATCTGGAAACCAAAGGTACCCACTAAGTGCAAAATGGACCCATGCATAACCTACAAAAATTTGATGAACATAAATTAATTTAAAAAAACTGACCCTGTGCAAAAGGGTCCAAAAAAGCAGTGATACAGGCCATTTTTCCTCTCGACACCAATGTTCACATCCTGTCTTGTTTATAAAACAAATGCGTGTCCTTTTGAAATGATCAGGACACATCACGTGATCAAAAGTGATAGCTGAGATACATGTGTATGAGATACAGATATATTGATTCACAGACCAGAGACATGGCAGTAGAATGGGACCCTACCTGGATCCAATTAAACTGAATATCTAGAAACCAAGAAAACAGTGAAGAAGAGAGCAGAACCCAATGTGGGAACAGATGATACCATCGAACAAACCTTTGTAAACCATTGTGTATTCAACATGGCTTGATACTGGCCCCTTTACTCTATTTTTGCTCAGACATGGTGACAGGTAGGTAACGGTTTCACTAATATGCAGATGACACATACCACTATGTATGTACTATGATATAATTTACAGTCTTGCTTAGTTACAGCAGTCAGAGTTAAAGGAGTCTCACATAAAGGACGCAGCATCATAAACCACTCTCTGAACAGTGGCCCACAAAGGCCACATGCAGGAATTTCATGTGTTCTTCAGGGAAACATTGCTCACTGTCTGCCAAGTGTTTCCGAAGTTGTGCTGAGGGATTTTATTTTCATGCAAGATGCACCAAATATTAATCGGCTGGTTGAATACCGATTTGATGCCAAAAAGATGAAATAAAACTGACATGCCCATCAGGCTTCAAAGCCACAAAGTTTCACAGCACTGGTATTAGTGTTGTCTTAATTATCTACAGACCGCAGAAATTCTCCTTATAAGAGATGAGAATGCAGGTGAAAAATTATCCTGGACTACATGTAGACTGTTAAATGTTTTCGGTGGAGCCTGGAATAGCATCAGGCCAATGGAATAACTGCTTATACCAACCCTCAAAATGTGATCCTTAAATAACAGATAAATACGCACACTAATAAACAGCTACCAGATGAGCATAGATTGTTTTGAGAAGCCAGTGTAATTCACAATCACCACCACATGTTTCAATAAAGACATGTAAAGACAAGACCCATGGCTCCTGCCATTGATATATTGATGTAGGAATGGTGCTAGACAACCTAACGCTAATTATTTTGATCAGATTTAAACTGGCAATTATCACAACCAGCATGGGACATGTTGATGGCAAGCATCACTCCCCTTTCACCTATACTATTGGCTGAAAACATGGGAATTGCTCGCTGTTGTGTGGAAACAAACAGCACCAAGCAACAAACAACACTAGTATATAAAACTTCTCCTTTTGTAATAATACATTTTATGTCATCTTCATTGTTATTTGATTAAGTCTATGAGAGGCAACATGCTTAGAGTATGAAATAAGAATATATGGATTTGCTGTTCAGACAATATTGAAATCTCCAGTATATGACTAAACTGAACTATATGGTAGGTTGTGCAAGAAGCAGTATTTTCCACAAAATATAAAAAAGCCCAGAGCAGAGAGGTAAAAAACTGGAGGGATTGCAGCCCATTCACGTTCCTCATTATCAGCCAATAATAGTTTTACTGGAGCTATGGTAGTTATTAAAACTCCTACCCTTCCACTCTCTCATAGGTATGACATGCCAGGCACGGACGTCATATACCGAGGATGAGGTTTTATGGGGCCATCGTTTCCTGCCGGTGATGTCCCTGGAGGAGGGCTTTTTCAGGGTAGACTACTCTCAGTTTCACAACACTTTTGAGGTACCGACACCGCCGTACAGCGTCAAGGAGTATGAAGAGAAAAATTCACTCCCCTCACCTCTGTCCACTCCCACCCCTGCGCTGACTGAAAGCCATGGCACCAGGCGTGACCGGGTGTTTTCTGTGGATTGCATCAACACTTCAGAAGAAAGGGGCCATCAGGGAGGTACTGGTGGTCAACTGCCTAGAAAGCTGCAGAGGATGAGTTCATCTGGGAAGGAGGACCTGCAGAGGAAAGTGCTTCTGCTTAGCTCCCAACACTCTGAGAAGGCCTGCAGCACAGGAGACCTGCCTCTGAAGCTGCAGCGCCTCAGCTCCTCGACTGGCCCTGAGGCAGAGAATCGGTTGCAACTCAAGTCCCTCAAGGTGGGCTTTGAACCCATGACCCAGTCTACTGGAGACCTGTATCAGCACAGCCTACAGCCCACATTGTCTCCTGCTCCACTCCCCATGCACAGCCCGCTGCTCTCAGCTGGAGGGAAGCTGGGGGACAACCTGCCACCGAAGCTACGGAAGATGAATGCTGACCGCTGAAACCCAGACGGTCCCTGACCACAACAACAGACTCCAGACAGAAGGAGACATGTATGGAAACACATTTTAGAGATCTACTTGCCCTCGGGAGACAGAACAGATCACTTACTTGCAATTTCTCGATTTATTCTTGAGACACAATCATTACTGGAATTACTGTGATCTTAGTGTTTCATAGCAGAGGCATTCATGAAGGCATTGTTACACACAAAACAATAAGAAAACACAAACTTGATCATTCTGCAAGAGTTGTGCATGTATACACTAAATCCATTGTTTAACGTGTGCAACACTGCACTTAATAGTCAATCTTAGTTTTGTCTAAATAGAAATTATATTGAGATGGTAATAAATGCTGTTTGAGCTCTCTCTGCTTTATGTTTTTATTGCTGCCACAACAAAAAAATCAAAGTTTGGTTTATGAGCTCTTTATGATTGTTAGTGCACGATATTAATGAGTAATCCAATAGTGCCTTGGCAAGTGACACTTAATGCAGGGACAATCCCATAATTCCTCAATGCATAAAGTGCATATAAGAGAGAGAAGGTGTGTGAATAAAGAGCTACACTGCTGATGCTGAGAGAGAAATATGAAGAGTGTTTATTGGAGAATAGAGGCTGATTAGAGTCAACCCACTGTTCCAGACAGAGGAGTAATGCCATCACCTTCTGTATGCATCATGCCTAACAAACGCACCCAAACAATGCATTATGTGGTCTTCTCTCAAATGTACAGTATGTCTGAGCGGAGCAACACAGTCTCGCATTGTGGAAGCCTTGTTCCTTTTATTTTTCAGCCTTTTTACTATTCATTTTATTGAACTGCTCATATTTGGTCTATTTTTGCATTAACACTCAATGGAAATGAAGATTCAGATAAGACAAGACATTTCTTCAAAGAACAAATTGAGATCAGAGCAACAGGAAGCAGAAGACACTAAACTAAACTAAATAAAGGTACTTAACTCACTATGCTGCACAGTGGTAACTCCACACAAGCTTCTTCAACACCACAAAGTCAGCGTATCTTACTTTACAAGAACATCTTAGCCTTAATTTCCCCACTACAGCAGCAGAGACAGGAAAATCAATGGAAGAAGATCTCCCCTGCTTCAACTCCTCACTCGCAGAGCCTTTCCCCTTCTCATTATGAAGCCGCAGTTTTAACCACCCACTCAAGTTACACAGAGCCTAAAATGCTTTGTACACTTCAATCCTATAATTCAATCCTTGTGTGTGTGTTTGTACACTTACTCACTACACAAGGTTTGCCACTGTTCTCATGCTGTGTATGATTTGCAAATTATACATCAATGGAGAGAAATTGGCTCATTACAATACAGAGATGTGCTAATAAAACACAGAGACGAGTAATAATAAAACTAATATGATGATTTGGTCGAAAGCATACACTGTTGATGATACTCACCCACCGCTCAACATAATACATGACCTACTGATTCAATTGAATAATAAAGCCGAAGGAGCAGTAGTGGGTTTATTTTTTCATTTAGGGCATTTCATATGAATATGCTCTATTCTATCATCTGCTGTCTGGAAATCAGTTTTTACACAGTCAACCGTCAACCACCCACTGTGCAGTTATTACTAAAACTGGGGGGTAGCAGTTCAAAACACTGCCTCATTTTTCATATCTGTCACATGAAATAATACAAAATGTACAAATCTAATCTCCTACTTGCTGTAAAAGTTTTCTGCTTAAGGAAACTTGATGTATGCATAAACTACCAGTTCAGCCGATCATCAGAGAAGCTACAGTATAGTGCCCCCTACTGTATATCGAGCGTACAATGACACTTATTAATATTAGGCCAGAGACACACAAAGCTGATGTGAAAGAACTAGCAGCAGCATAGGCCAACTTTTACTTCACCTCACATCGCCTTGTCTCAGCCAGTCAGGTCAACAAAGTGGCACACTGCACAGACTACACACAATGGCCAACTAGCACATACGTTCTGCGCCCGCGTTAGAGAAATAACTCCCTCTACCAGCAGGTGGCGATATCTGTATTTGCCATTCAGAAAGGGAAAGAAGAAGAACTAGGCTGCGGAAATACAAGCTCTAAACAAAGTAGCTCCATAACTGCTGTTTATAGCTGCTTCTAATCGAGAATATGTCTGATAAGAAGTTATAAATAGCATTTCTGTTCTCTGCCCTTGGTCTTTTGGTTGTGGATGAAGAAGAAATGAGGTCATGGAAGCAAAAAACAAGGACTCACCACACTAAATAGGTTAAATCATGGATATTTCAGCGACAGGCTCAAGGGTCTTTCCTCGAACATTTCTCTTCTTGTGCATTGAATCGCTAAACTGAACAGTCAGAGTGGACTCTCTCACCACTGAGGTCCGACGCCGATTCAACACAGCTAATCGGCTGAAAAGCCGCCAGCAGGGTTCGAGTAGTGCGGACACACTGAGAAGACGATGGCGACAGACACTCAGCAATGACCCGACAGTGGCCAACCGCCAGCCATTGGCTTGGGATATTATGGGCCTTATATTCACAGCTAATAGTTTAAAACGTTCACAGTGCCAGTAATTTTTCAGTTTTACTTTTTCCATTTACCCTGAAACTGTTAATGTAAGTATCTTAAAGTTTGGGGGTTACTTATTTGTTGTTGTGTTTCCCTGACCAAACAAAAGAGTGAAGCCTTAGTGACCTTAGCCTAGTAAGGAAGCAGGCTGTGGAGTGGTAGAATATGAATGAATGATGCAACAAAGTGTAACACATTGTAAACAACTAGTTTACAAGTAGCAGAAATACTGTAGCTGCATGCTCATAATCTTTCCCAGGGTGAGTCAGAAGTGACTGTGACATCGTCTTGTAGTTTTGGAGCACGGTGTCCTGGGTTACACTGAACTAATTCCACTGCCAAACTGCCCCTGATGATAATTTATAGTTACTGACCTTACTCACTGAGAAAAAGTGATTTTCCTAATGCCACTCAATAGGCTACCTGTCAGGGCCACAGTTTGAGACCAATGCCAGAAACCTTCCTCCTCTGTTTACTTAAAGCAATCACATGGCAGACCTTGGTGACACCATATTTGTCAGTTTTAGAGACTCAGCTCCTGTCTGAGGCGTTTCAGCCTCTGCTCTAACGACCCTGACACTGATGTCTCCACAGGTTAAAAATATCTGGAACATGAATACTTAATAACAAGGCATGGAGAGGCTCATCAGGAGCCCGTCTTGCTGACTTCCTCACACTGTCATCCAGCTCAAATCTGCCTGAAAAAGTTCTAAATGACAAAGACCACTAATCTAATCTCTGTCAGAAAAAGAAAAAAACTATGCACAATAATTTTCAGTTCTTTCTCATCGTAGAGATCAGATTGGGGATGTTTTGATGTGGAGCTGATTCATTTATTATCCACAGTGAGCTGTTTGTTTGGGCTGTGTTGCACAAACTGTGAATGAATGGCTAATTAGGCCACTTGTGGTGTCTAATAGGGAAATGTGGCTCACTGATCCACCTTACTGATATACTGTACACCAAAGTGTCTGCATGCACACAAACAATAAGACACACAAACACATACACACACACAACAAACAGATGCTGCATCTGTCAATCAAAACACAAGCCACCTCCTTACACCACAGTCACCATGGCAACATGGTAACCTCTTTGCCCTTCAGCAGTGACAGCAAGCATACAGATGGGGTGTGTGTGTGTATGTCTGTGTGTTGGTGTGTGAGAGAGGAGATCCTCATTGTGTCCTTCAGTCCTCTCGGTTAAGTATTAGGGTCAGGGTTAGGTGTTAGGCAAGTAGTGGTTATGGTTAAGGTTTGGATAAGTCTACAGGAAATGAATGTAAGTCAATGTAAAGTCCCCACAAGGAATGAAAACACTGCGTGTGTGTTTGTGTGAGCTAAACTGCAGATATCAAGTGTCTCATCTGCAGCGCTGTGATTTATTCCCCCTTATCCATGGAGGGTAACCCTGTGGGAAATGGGAAAAAGAAGGATAGCAAATAGCATCAGCAGTCCTCATCTCTCTGTGTGCCACTTTAATTTCAACTTGTCTGCTTCACAATGGAAACAGCTGATGCTGACATGCTTTGAAAAGAATGAATAGCTGACTGCATTGATTTTTCCATGCATATATTACCATAAACCCTGCCTGTGGACCATGCGTGTGGAATGTGTAAATACTGGTTCCTTAAAACTAGTGTCTGTGACTGGACTGAAGTGCTGGAGTGAATCGTTCATTCCAGTACTCCAAGCATCCGCTGGGACATCCCTTTCATCGCTCCTCCTAATGTAACCAGGCGAGAGATCGAAGGACCAATCAATTCCTGCCTCACTGCTGAAACCCAACCCACAGCCTGAGACACAACCTGATGCTCAGATCTTTGGATAATCACGTGATTCTGCAGGGACTGCTAGGAGTGACTGGAATATGCAGGTCCATCTGTAGCGTTGAGAGAAGTTTGGTGTTAATGTATGCAATGACTCCATGTCCCTTCACAAAAAAATCAATAGCTGTGAGTGGTATTCATCACAGTGGTAAACACAAGACACACAAATGTAATATGTCCTTCAAAGACACTCATGATGCCTCTGCTGTGCGTCGGACAGTGTTTGATGTACCAATTTCTAAGGTAGAGAAGCCAGAGAGAATGTTTAGCACATACATTAGGAAGTGGCTGGGAGCATCGTGCTGCCTCAGCAGTGTGGCCCTGTATGGAAAAGGGATTTTAGAGCTCCCTATAACCAGTTTAACATAGGCGTTAAAATGTGCTAAGGCTAGACTGGAGATAACACTGTTGGAATCCAGGGATGTAGTGGTGCAGAGCGCAGCACCAACAGTCTCAGCAGGGAGGACGTGAAACCCAAAGGAGGCAGTTTTGCAGGCTCAGGCAGCTCTTAAACAGGGTTAGGATATTGTAGGGCAGGTACAGCATGGACGTGGTGGTTTTGGTATAAGCACATCACAGCCTTCTTGAAGTAAAGCATCAGCAGCTGACAGATGGGAGATGGTTATTGATGAGATTAGGAGGCAAGAAGAGGCAGGTAGATGTGCAAAGTCTCCCAGGCTCAGCAGGGACAGTGGACGAGATGGGAAGATGTAGAACAGAAGAGTTGGAGGGAAATGTGGAGCCTGGAAACAGAAAAGATCACTTTACATGGTTTGAAAAACAAAATTCTCGCCAGCAGCAGTTCACGAGACTTGTATGAACTGAGTTGCTTCTGCATGGAGGTACAGCATAAGTAGATAACACAGAAAGCATGCCAAGGGCTTTATAATAAATTTTCAACCTATCGGCATCAAAACCACAGCTACTTTAGGAAGCACAGAATAA